CAGGTAGGTTCCTCATTTTGCATTTTTTTTCCTTTTATGTCCAAACTTTCGTTTTGCATAATTTATCTTCAAATTTGCAATCTAACCTAGAAACATAATATGTACACTGATATGAGTAGAAACCCGTTCAAATAATCAAATATTTAGAAAATTTAAGAATTTAGATAAGCTTGTAAAACACACTCATTTTCCAAAATAATTAAACGCATTACATCTATTATAGATATGGAAAAAAATTATTTTATGATTATTTTCATAAGTTAAAAGATACTGAAATTAATATCAAAGGTAGTTGCAAAAAATATAATAGGAGTTTTCCTTTTAATAATTCCTTTTTAGCAACAAAAATCATGTTGTATACATAGTGGAGGATTTGATTATCTACCTAATATCTGAATCGAAAGAGTTGGAAAGACTTAAGGTATCAACTTTGGCAACTTTGTGTTTCGTTTGGTTTGTTGTCGTGTCAATGTGTGTAGGCTCAAGTCACTATCCAAGTATTTGGTCCTTCTAGTATATGTGGCGGCTGAATTATGGAGTTCTGGGCATTTGATCAACCTCTTTTTTATAAAAAAGGTTGAACCCCAACCTTGAGAGTCCTAACCGCCCCATCTCTAGAGTTTTGTGAGGGAGGTAAATCGCGGGATGTGTCCCAACAAATCAGGGAACAAGAGCTGCATGTACACTGCGCCTACAAGGAGTCCAATTTCATGTCTTAGGAATCGAACTCCCACACTACCGCTGCCAACAAGGCTTGAGATAATCTCACTCATATCCTTTACACCACTAGACTATACCCCAAGGGACAACCTCTTTTTTATCTTAGCTACAATAGGTGGTGAATGGTCAACAGCCATATTGTAAAAATCTCTCTGGCAAAATCAATCCAATATTGATAATATAAAAGGAAAATTAACATGTGGAACTTGAGGTCGAATTTATGTCCAACTAGTGGTCAAAAGTTTAAATAAATGAAAACGAATTTTCAAAAGTTAACCAAACAGTTTTGAGATTGAATGGGCTAGTTCTGCGGCTATTTTAAATGGATAAGATGAACGACTTAGTTAGGAATGTCAACAAAGCAGGCTTGCGAACCTAAATTCGAGGCTCCGATTCAACTCAAGTAAAATTAAATCGGACTTTTTTTGGTGAGTTGCGCCATGCAAAAACTCGATCAAAAATTCGAGACTCGACTTGAGCTTTTGGCTCAAGCCTTACTGATATCGAGTAGGGATGATTTTTTTGATTTTTTATGTTTTATATAAATAACACCTAGGCAGCTTTAGCTGCCTTCAAATGGGCAGCACACAACTGCCTTTAAAAAACGCGGCCTATATCTATAATAGGCAGCTGCGTAGCTGCCTATAGTAGAGGCAACTACATAGCTGCCCCCTTTTACGACCCAACCCAACGGGACATACGGGTTGGCTCTAGCTCAGCCCAACTTTTCAAAATGGGGCTCGGTCCTAGTCTTGAACTGAGCCTCAAGTCGGGTCAGCTCAAGCTTTTTTTGAGTTAAGTTATGGGCGACTCGAGATGGGTAGCCAAATTGTCATTCCTAGACTTAGTTAACTAACGAAATTTATGTTAAAGTCAAAAGAATATATATAGTAGCGGGCCATTTCGCAAGAACAATATCTAAAATGACTTGATGGTATTGCTTGAATCTATAACTTACGTGTTGATGCACATGATATCAATAGTCATCAGAGATAGAGAGAGAGGGGGGTTGGAGTGGGCTGTAGCCCAGCCCCAACCCAATAGCTAATTGACTTGTAAAAAATGGAAAATTCAGTCCAAATTATTGGTGAAATAAAGAAGAATAAAAATTTAGCCTAGTCTATAAATTAATTTTTAGCACTATTAACTTCATTCCCAACCCAAATCCAATGTTCAATTATTTAAGGGAGTGTTTGAGCCACATTATTTTGGTAATAATGCATTCTTGAATAGTGTATTAATGAGAAATGTGTAGCTAAAAAATAAGGAAAAGATTTTGATTTGCGTGTAATATTATTTTATTAAATAATATGTGATTGAAATGATGTCAAATCACTATTTACAAATACATTTTTTTAGAATAATGTGGCTCAAACAGGCCCTAAATTTAAATAGTTCATTTATAATCAAATTAATTTATTATATTAGAAATAATTTTTATTGATTAAAGTAAAGATAAAAACTTATTATAGCATGTCACATGTTTGACTAAGCCTAAAAGTAATTAACTTTTTCTAACGTATTTTTTCATATATTGTTTATTTATACTTGTGATTTAAAAATTTATTTATTTCAACCACGAAATGGAAATATGCTTTATATTTACTTTTATCATTTAAAAATATATTTGTTAGAATTTTGTCATAGATGTTTAAAAATATATCTTGATCCATTTTGTCATTAGCGTGAAGAGTGTAACCTTTTAAACTAAATCTCGAATAGCAAAGAGCATTTATGAAAAAATTTAATTTTCAGCCCATCCTAACATATCTTCCTGGCTCCGCCCTTGATAGTCATGCTAATAATTTGGATGAGATCTTCGAAAAGTATTTAGTGCCTTGGAGCTTTAGTTATCACTGTAGTTTGATGTACTTCAAAAGCTCCATTGTCTATCTCGATAATTGGCTTTAGTGGATCTTCTTTTTCAATCAAAAGTTTGCTAAAATGGAATTCAAATCGAACCTTAATTTTCTGTCAAACTAATCTATGCCTTTAGATTTTGATACCATTGACAAAATTTGGATAGGTAAGCTTCGGTTTAACAATTAAGGTTTTTAACCTAATGAATACATTAAAAGATTCTATTAAAATTTTGAGTAAATGCCATTCACAAAGCTCCATGCATGGATATGCGAGCTACACATAACTCATCACATGCAAATTTTAATCTGATTTTCGTTGTTAATTTCATTATGATATCTGATCATGACACGTGTCAGCTAATCAATTTTGATCCCGCCTTTTGATTTTCTGAAGATTTTACTTATTTATTATAGTTGATTCTTTATTAATTATATTAAGCAATGGAATATATTCGTTTGGATATTAATATAAGCAGCACATGGCAAATTGCAACACGCTTGTTTTGTCACGGGCACATATTGCAGGATATATTAAATAAATAAATAAATAATTATGAATTCTTATATTTATTTCACTACATGTGTAGGTGGGAGTATACGTGACAAGGAAAAAGAAATAAAATCTAAAACGAACGTGAAGGTAGAAAGAATCCAAGGAGACAGTTCTAAACAAAGAGTGTAACCTTTTAAACTAAATCTCGAATAGCAAAGAGCATTTATGAAAAAATTTAATTTTCAGCCCATCCTAACATATCTTCCTGGCTCCGCCCTTGATAGTCATGCTAATAATTTGGATGAGATCTTCGAAAAGTATTTAGTGCCTTGGAGCTTTAGTTATCACTGTAGTTTGATGTACTTCAAAAGCTCCATTGTCTATCTCGATAATTGGCTTTAGTGGATCTTCTTTTTCAATCAAAAGTTTGCTAAAATGGAATTCAAATCGAACCTTAATTTTCTGTCAAACTAATCTATGCCTTTAGATTTTGATACCATTGACAAAATTTGGATAGGTAAGCTTCGGTTTAACAATTAAGGTTTTTAACCTAATGAATACATTAAAAGATTCTATTAAAATTTTGAGTAAATGCCATTCACAAAGCTCCATGCATGGATATGCGAGCTACACATAACTCATCACATGCAAATTTTAATCTGATTTTCGTTGTTAATTTCATTATGATATCTGATCATGACACGTGTCAGCTAATCAATTTTGATCCCGCCTTTTGATTTTCTGAAGATTTTACTTATTTATTATAGTTGATTCTTTATTAATTATATTAAGCAATGGAATATATTCGTTTGGATATTAATATAAGCAGCACATGGCAAATTGCAACACGCTTGTTTTGTCACGGGCACATATTGCAGGATATATTAAATAAATAAATAAATAATTATGAATTCTTATATTTATTTCACTACATGTGTAGGTGGGAGTATACGTGACAAGGAAAAAGAAATAAAATCTAAAACGAACGTGAAGGTAGAAAGAATCCAAGGAGACAGTTCTAAACAAAGAATAAAACTATTCGCAGTTTTGACTAGATAGTATTAATTAAAAATACACATTTATTATCAATTTAATCTAGTACAATTTACCAAATGCACCATATAAGGTTTACTTTTAAGTGGAAGTGTTGGACATGCTAACTCTAATGTGCAAGAGAACCTCATGCCATAAAGCAATCAAGGTTGGACGTGAGGCGAGGCAAGTGAGGCCCTCTACTCAGGCCAACATCAAAGGGGCCCATAAATCTTGTATTTTTTTTAATTCTTTTTTTATTAAATTAGCTAATATAACATTTTTGATCCATTTTGGAGACCCAATTTATCGATCCAAAATATTCTACCCGTAGCCCAATAACATTTAACATGGATATTGATTATAATATCAATCTCTTAGGATGACTTATTTCATTTCTTGAAAAGTATAGAGAAATTGTGTTTGTGTTGGGGATCCTAGGAGTTCAATCAACCAAAACATCAATCAACAAACAAGATTCAAGGCAAAAACAAGAAAATATAAAACCGGAAGAATACAACCACTTTATATGGCCGAAATTTGTCCAGTTTCTTCTTCTTCCTTGCAGCAGCTTCTTCACCTCTTATGGCAGATTTTACAGGCTCAGGAACAGCCCCATACTATGCAAATCGCCTTCTAAAGAGAGATAGAAAGAACCGGCAAAGAACCCCTTGAAAACCACCAACCAAGAGACCACCTTAAAGAACCAACAAAAATGGAGGAAATTTTCTGTCGAGCCACACCCAGAAAATGATCAGCCTGCCTCCTTTTAAAATAACCCCCATCCAACCGAAGACACTCCTTCTTACACAAAACATGGGGTAAGTAATATGTTAGGTGAAAAAATTGGTCAAAGCGTCTCCCACAAGATTAAATCTCAATCATTGATCTTCATCCAATGGTTCACAAAAACTGAATAAAGTGGGTTAAGAGAACCATATTCTCACAGTTTGCTATTGTCATGGATGAAGTTAAACAAATGACAAGTGAAATAAGAATTAAAACCGTGTTTTAGAAAAGAACTTGTCATTCAAATAAAGAAGCAAATTGTTCAAAGTGGTAGCGATGAAGTAAAATAATTAGTTGAAAACTATTTTAGAATTTAGCACATCATCTTTATTATTGATCAAGCTCAATCTTCATGACTTCAAACTAGATTTGAACAATTTAAATGATATGAAGAGCCTTTTGATTTTTGTTTAATCTGGAAGGTTATAGCATGCGACTATTGGCAGTTTGTTGAAGTCTTCTACGAATTTTGAGCAATACATAGAATATAATGGACACTCGAACGTGAATGGAGATGAATTATCTCCTGAGTCAATAGTCTTGAGATGCTATTACCAAGTGAAACAAAGAGACCAATAGATATGCTACAATATTTCGACATTGGATGTATGTTTCCCAAATATCTATATTGCTTACAAAATATTATCAATTACAGTTGCCTGCAGAAAATTTTCTCCAAGTTTAAATTGTTCAAGACTTCTCTAGTCAATTACGTCAAATGATATATTTTGAATGAATTATTATGTTATCAATTGAGAAAGATATGATTGAACAACAATAATATCCAATTTTGATTAATATTTTTGCCTCTAAAACCAAAAGGCGAGTTGTATATAAGTAATTGTTTGGAACATTTTCGATCTTATTATTTGGTCATAAAATAAAAATTTTGAACTATACATTTTGTTTCTCATTTTATTGTTGATTCTTAAGTTAACGGCTAGTTCCATAAAACTCTTATAGACATAAAAAAAATTTGAACGCATACTACCGGGGGGGAAGGTTCATTGTGGGGCCCAATTATGAAGTTCACCTCAGTTCTTGAAAATTAAATATCCGACGCTGAAAGTCATTGCATAAAAAAGTAACAGTATAATAGCTAAGCACACATCAAACAGATATAGCAAAAGACAATAATAAGCACCTAATGCGTAGTCTAAGACTAGAAATAAGTAGAGAACGTAAATTAAGAATATTAATGAAGAGTATCACCATGGACAAGTCGTATAAGATGAAGCTCCAAAGTTATGTATGCATCATCTGCCTCCTCCCCGTCCTGTCGCTCTCTCTGTTTGCCTTTAATATCTCTTCCTTTCAATGCTGCTGAATTTGGCATGGGAGCAAAAAGTGTTTGTACAACTTCGACAACCTCAGTTGTTAAGAGGCTTTCTGTCATCAATTATTTTTTCTCAAACAATAGCTAATAAAGCAAAAGAGGTTACATTATAGGAACTATGCATCAAACCAATATGGGGAAAGAGAGATGAGTGTTAACATACTAAAAAACCGAAGTACTCATGGTGCCCTCAAGCTTAAATCCCAGAACTTATGGGTACTTCTCCAAAACTCTAGGAACGTCACGAGGCTTAATGTCCATGCCTTGAAGATACTTCACAACAGGTGAAGGGTCTACAACAACACTAGCGTGGAGGACTTGTGGGTACCGACGTAAAAATTCTGTAAAAGGAGATTTTCTAACTCCCAATTTGCCTAGGTAATCGAGCACTGGAATCATGTTTTTCTTCACACTGCAGCCAAGGACAAGAGGGTAATTGTTTATATCTTCAATTGTAAGCCCCAATTTGTGAAGGAAGTCCACACGGTCTTGCATAACCTCAACAGTAACAGGAAGCTCTAACCCACCATCAGGTT